AAAGTAGGAGGTGGAACAATGTTTTGTATAGTATGTTAATGCCAGTTGAGCTTGATGTCCCCTGCAACTGTGGTCCCAAGCTCACAGGTTCAACTACTCGGTCCCTCTGGGTAGCTGGCTGTGACCAAGCAGTGACTACAACCTTGCCTCTTGTCAGCTCTACTATATACCTGGGAATTCAGATCATTCACAGAAACTTATAGAACTATTGTCTGCCAACCCTATACATGTTCTTGGGTACACTCCCTGCTTCATAGACATACCTAATAAATAGTTCAGCCTGTCCACCCATCTATCCACCTGTATACTCCCCTCCCACTGACAATGCAGTACTGTATGTGCGAAAGGGTTCATCTTTGTTGTCTGTACCTCCCATGTACCTCTCTGTGTCTTTGTCTTCCTCAATGCCACCATATTGATCACTCACATTTGGTACATTGCCCTTCTCTTCACCCAAATCAATACTTATCTCTATCTATCTAACAGTGTTCCCTACCCTACCCTCCCACCCCTGGTAACCAACAAAGAAAATTTCCTTCCATAGATAAACCTTTCCTTCACTTTTACGCTAACAGACTAATAAAATATTTGTCCTTTTGTGATTGACTTATTTTACTCAGCATAATGTCCTGGAAGTTCATCCATGTTATGCGGTGTTTTGCAGATTCTACATTATTCTTTAGCATTGCATGGTACTCCATTGTGTGTATGTACCATAGTTTGGTTATCCATTCCTCAGTTGATGGATACCTAGGTTGTTTCCATCTTTTGGCTGTTGTAAATAGTGCTGCGATGAACATGAGTGTGCATATGCTTGGTCTTGTCATGGCTCTCACTTCTTTAGGATATTGATTAAGTTCATCTTACTGTGCAAGTATCACAACTATTCTTTTCCAGATTAGTCCACCACCATTAACAGAAATGCCCCCTAAGCAGTGACGCCCCCTTTCCCCTCCCTTCCACTCTTGGTAACCACCCATAAACTCTGGTCTCTGCATTTGCATGCTTCCTACAAGTGGGATCATAACACTATTTGTCTTTTTGTGACTGAATGACTTTACTCAGCGATGTTTTCAAAGTTCACCCATGTTGTAGCATGTGTCAAAACTTTATTTCTGCTTATGGCTGAGTAATGTCCATTATATATATATACCACATCTGTTGATGAACATTTAGATTTCCACTCACTGGCTATTGTCAGTAATGAGCATTGGTATACAGGTTTCTGTTTATGTTCCTTATTTCAATTCTTTTGTCTTTTGCCTGGGACTGGGATTACTCGGTCATATGGTAATGCTATGTTTAACTTCTTGAGGCTCTAGACTATTATTACAGACATTCCACCACAGGTCTTGCCCTTCTGCTGCTGTCTCAGCAGCATGGATAAAAGAACTTAAAAATTATAGATAGGGCTGTGTTTACTCCTTAGACCCAGATGGTTCCTGTGCTTCAGCTGTGAATTAGTGGTTTGATGAATGAATAAAAAGCAAGTGACCACACTTGGCCTGAGGAAGCCATACTCTTTTCTTCTTTCTTTCCTTCTTTTTGCCTTCCCATTTCCCTATTTATATCTTTTTGCCTTCCCATTTCCCTATTTATTTCTTTCTCTTGTCACTCTCCCTAGCTCTGTTCCCTGCCTCCTCCACAGTGTTGCAGTGTGCACATGTACACACACACACACAACAGACATACAGCTTCCACATTTACACCTTGGGGACATGGATGACATTTTTCAAGACAGAATTTTTTTTTTTTTGTGATTTGGGTGAAAGTTTACAGAGCAAATTAATCTTCCATACAGCTCACATACACTTTGTCTCATGACATTGGCTGCAATTTCCCACAGTACAATAACTCCCCTCTCCCTTCCTCCCCATAGTTACCTCTTCCCTGTGTCCTTCCCTCCCATGCACTACTGCCCCCGAGCTATCTCCCTGTGCATACATAGCCTGCTATTCTCCCATGATTGATCTCTCCAAGGAGTATGTCTACCTAATGTAAATATTCAGCTCATATGCCTGTCTTTTGTTTGGCTGGCAGCCACAGGAATGGGTTCACTTCCAGACCTGATGGGCATCTAGGGGCCATAGTCTCAGGGGTTCCACCAGGCTCTATCCTGGTCCCTTTTTTTTTT